CACCTCCGTCTCCAATGTGCTCTTCTTAGTGCTTAAATTTACCCCTGTGTGCATTGGGCGGCTAGTCTGTGTTATTTTCTCATTTTTCCTCGTCTGAGGGAATTCGTTGCAATTTCTCTGGTCGATCGAAGCATTCATCTTTTGGATTTCTGGAGCTGTCTGGGAAGGAGGCCGCTGAGGAGGCTGGAAGAGAAAGAAGAGCTGCGCCGAACTCTTCTACATACACTGCGTCATTATTCAGTTGCACTGTGTGCAGTAGCGATCGGAGGGGGAGGCAGCAGTTCTGGAAGCCCAAATGCATATAAGAAGCTTAATCGTGCGGTGCGGTGTTTGCTCTCGTTCCTGTTCCCGTTCGGTGCGCTAATAAAGGATTAGTATGCTGATGTGCTAATAGCCCAGGGGCATCATTCAAAACGAAGCGAATCGAGAAGCTCGTAGAACTACGCACGATTTTTGCACCTTCATTTTTTTGCTCATCGGCTCTCTGTAGCGCTGAAAGCTTCACAGCGACTGTTCGAGCGATAAAGATGATGACGTGAAGAGGATTGCACCCAAGGGTGATATGAAAATTCGAGCTTTCTGAAAATCCTGGAGAAGTGCATATCCGACTGCTGACCAAATGCTGATAGTTTTTTTCGCTTGGTAAAAGAATATTCAGTCTGACTGTGCAAGGCAGCGGGATCTGCGCTTTCTCGGTTTAGAACATAATCATTTTCCGTGGAGGATTTCTGGGCAATTATAATTTGCTGTTGGATTCTGAGAAAAACACCAGCGACAGAAGAAAAGCTATTTCGAATTTCTGCTTTCTCTGTATTATTTTGGCTGTTGAAACTTGATATTCCCTGTGAGAAATGTTTAACTAGAGCACGGGCGGGGAAATAGTATATTCTGTTTGGTATTGTTCCATTCGCTTTTTCTTCAATAATTGTTCATTGTTGAACATTCAGCTTTTACGAATTCACAAAAATCATTTAACTGACCCACTGACCAAAGGACCTGCCAACTGACTGACTATTGACTATTTTTTTTTCTTAAAATTCTTGGAAAAAAAGAACAAAAACCCCGCTTCGCTACGAGTGTTCGGTGCTCGATCATTGTCTCATTCTGCGCTGTTCTTCATTTCTTAACCACTTTTTGTGCTGCACTCTGCAGCAGCAGTGCTTTAAAAAGTACACCACTTACACCACTATCATCATTATCATCAATTATCATTACCATCGTCATCACTGGTAACATTATATCCGTCATTATCATGATTGCTAGAGCAAAGAAGTGGCAGCAGTGAGCTGCACTTTCGCTTTGCTTCCTCCATTTCGCCACTGCAATAGTGGAATTTTGTCATTTTCTGCGAGAATTTTTCTGGAAAACTCACTGTTATCCCGTTCATCGAGTGGATGGATGTGGTTCACTTGAAAAAAGCTACTGCTTATGTCAATGGCGCAGTTGTTTGGGAAGTATTCTTGAACTAGAAAAGGGAAAAAATCAAAAAATTGCTTCGTTTTTGATCCCATATTGTTGGCTTGGCTATCTGGGCCTTGCAGGCTTTCTGCTCGTTTATTATATTTTGATCCCATTGGCTTCCAAAGTCATGTTCATCTTGACGCTGTGTCGTTGGTACAGTGCTTTGAGGCCCGACGAGACTCAACAACAACAGCAACAGCAAGAACAAATGAGCAGTTTGGCGATGACGCAGGAAGAAACAGATAATGAGGAATCCCAGAATCGGAGACCCGAATTTTTTCTGGAAACCTCACCGCTTACAACGGAAGATGATTTTTGTTCACATCCAACTGTTGATAGGAATGTACCAAAAAATTTTTCGAATTGTGCAACTTCCTGGCTAACCAAAGTGGGGGAGTGCTTAGACGAAGAAGGCAAATTTCCTGTAGACTTTAACACAACTTATGAATCGTTTAATGAAGTTAAGGAATCAACGTGCGCAGCGAAAGAAGGAAAGCTCGAGATGCACCAGGGTTTGGATCAAAGTACGGAGGTTTGGGAAGAAACAGTTGGAAATGATGGTGTCCATAAAGCGGATAATTCATTCACGGGTTCTGTTGCAAGAAAGGAAAAAATCATTGCAGAAATCACAAGCTTCTTGGATACTTTGGATGCTACAACAGAACACGGAAGCGAACACGAAACAATGAGTCATCATGAGTTTATTGACACATTGGATGAGGGCGAATTCTATCTGCATGACCATATTTGCCCTTCACTATCGTCACCATCGTCCTCCGGAAGCTACGATCCGTGTATTCAGGCATCCTCGTCGTTGCCGCATTTCGCGGAATGTCCCCCGGAATGTCATCCATCATCTCGTGTCTTGCACTCTTCGCTAGTTTTGAAATCTCCTAGCTTTCCACAGTGCATTCCGGAACTGTTGCCAACTTCTTGTCCATCGCCGCATCGTTATCCATTCTCGATTTCGGATGGTCCCTGCAACTCTACGAATTTGCGCTCTAGAACTGGGACACCGCTTGGCACGCACTCATCGAATTTTGAGTCACCTCAAAGCAGCGGTTACGCATTCTGTCAAGCTTCGAGTGTTACATCTCCAGACGGTGACGCATCATCGATTTTTCACGGAAAACAACGACTGTGTAATGGTAGTGCTACAAAAGTGTCCGGTGATGTAGTTACTCAGAAGACCAGAATTAAAGCTGGAATGTCGGGTCAGAGACTTCTGGCTGGTTTTAAGTTATTTGGCCGGAAATCAGATCCCACCAATGAGCTTCGTTCGAAAAAAGATGCTGTGACAGCGGATAATCGTGAAAAGTTTTCCAGTTTGCGGTCTGGACCTTCTTATACCGAATGTATAAAGCATTCAAGTCCCGAGTCGAAATTTACATCCCACAGTCAAAACTCGGCCACGAATTTGAAGCCGTACATTCCGGATTACCAAAATTTACCTGGAAATCACTCTTGTATCAGTAAAATGGCTGTACTGGATTTGAATCTCGAGGAGGGACCTCAAGAATTTAAGGAACGGATATATGACCAAGCTTTATCGAACCTGAGGTCTAAAAGCAAAACCTCGGAACGCGAGAAACGAATTTATGATCGAGCTACCGCGAATCCTAATCATGATAACAAGGATCCGGCATATGAGGGACAGTTTTTTGCTGCTCCTAATCTGTATTCTGATGATGAACTCACAGAATTTAAAGAAACATTTTATGATTTACCTGATTCTGTATTAAATCGTGATACCGGAGAAGTGTCATGCTATTACGGTATTCCACTCCTGGATGAGACTGTCGACAAAAAAATGCATTCCAGGTTGACAGTTTTTTGTTTCATAAATCTTTCTTTGTTGAAAGTGTGGAAACAGGATTGGTAGGATAGAAGAGGTAGAAAGAAAGCCGTTTTGTCCAGAATGTCAAAAAATTCCTTTTTTCGAGGGTGGGGAGGGTTGGGTAGGGAAAGAACGGGGGAAGAAATGGGCAATAGCGGAAGCATCAAAACTTACGTAATGTGATGTTATTGGGGTGTCGTGGACTCACTCTTTCGAGGCTTTTTTTTCAGAAACAATGAGAAAGCTGAGAATTATTCCATCCCACCAGATGTTGCTTTTTGTTTCGACATTTTCGTTTAAGCTCGTTCATGGGGAATGCCAAAGAGGCATCATTAATGACTGTTTATCCACTTT